ATTCACATAACAATTCTGCAAATTGTTGATAGTATTTCTGGCGCAAAGTGAGTGTGTTCAAATCGGTGTTGACGTGTTTCTTGAAAGAAGTTTCCGAGGTCAATCTCGTTAGTTTCAGGGTTTTCTCTCTAATTTGTTTTCAGCGATGTAGTTAAGGACTAAATACATAGCTTCTTCATACTTGCCCTCTTTCTCTGTAGGAGAGGTGAGTTTAGTTATTTCTGATGTTGAGGTGGTGGCTTTCGTCATTGCCTTTTAAGAAAAAAAGAGACGATCGTAATTTCATCTCAAACTAAATCTTAACATTCTGTTTCTAGACATTGACGACTGTGTTAATCATACATGCAACAATGGCGGATCATGCCTAGATGGTGTCAACAATTACTATTGTAACTGCTTGGTGGGATTTACTGGAAATTATTGTGAATTAGGTACATCCTTTTTCCTCTTATTAGTTGTTAATTTTTCTAGTTTTGGTCGCTGCTGCTGTAGTTGTTTGATGACAACTATGTAACACACTAACGCACGCTAATAAAGCGTCAGAGGTTTGGTTTAGTTGAAGGGAAGTTTAATAAAACTAAGTTCAAAAAGTTGCTTAAAAATAAAGTTCTTCTTTTTCCTTTTTATCAACTCTTCACGTGTACTTAAGCTACTGCTCGCATGTATTATCCTCCTTTGATCAGAGCCTTCTGTTTGCAGATATTGACGACTGCGTTAACCATACATGTAGAAATGGGGGATCGTGTGAAGATAGTGTCAACAGCTACTCTTGTAACTGCTTAGCGGGATTTACTGGAAATAACTGTGAAACAGGTACACTCAGACAACTCTAGGCGGCAATCTGTATCTGTAGTTATTACACTTATCAGACTTATATCTACTTTTTATCTATGTTATTCCGTTTGTAGACATCGACGACTGTATTAATCACACATGCAGTAATGGTGGATCGTGTGAAGATAGTGTCAACAGCTACTCTTGTAACTGCTTAGTGGGATTTACTGGAAATAACTGTGAAACAGGTACACTCAAACAACTCGGCGGCAATCTGTATCTGTAGTTATTACACTTATTAGATTTATATCTACTTTTTATCTATGTTATTCCGTTTGCAGATATCGACGACTGTATTAATCACACATGTAGTAATGGTGGATCGTGTGAGGATGGTGTCAACAGTTACTCCTGTAACTGCCCACCAGGATTTACTGGAAAAAATTGTAAAACAGGTACACTCAAACAACTCCAGGCGGCAATCTGTATCTGTAGTTGTTTTTTTCGTTGAAACATATTGATGTTTGGTGGAAGTTACATAACTCACGTCACAAACAAATGGTGCAAAATTGGTCCCAGATGGGCCAGAATGTTCGAGAATTGCTGACAGGTTTGATTGAGTTGAGGATCGTGAACGAGCTATTATCTTTGTCGCACTTATATCGTCCTTTCGAATCGATAATCTTTTTACATCAAATCGTTTACTCTTTTAATTTTTCTTGTTTTGGTCGCTGCTGCTGTAGTTGTTTGATGACACCTATGTAACACAATGTAACACACGTCAATAATGTGTCCGGGGTTTGATTTGGTTGAAGGGAAGTTTAAAAAGGCTAAGTTCAGAGAGGTGCTTAAAAATAAAGTTCTACTCGTTCCTCTGAAATTCGTACTTACAGGCTTTTTTATCAACTCTTTACGTGTACTTAAGCTACTGCTCGCATGTAATTATCCTCCTTTGATCAGAGACCTTCTGTTTG